CTTGTTGGACTTTCTTTCCTTAATGGTTTTCTTGTGAAAGCTACATTATGGGGTGTTGCAGACAAAGAGTGAAAAGCATTTCTGTAAACGTGGGTAAAAAAAAAGCAGCTAAAAATATTAATAAAGCAAGACTGAAATAGTGATGAATAACATATCCAAAGTGCAATAAAACTAAGCAAACTTATATTTTTGTACAAGCATTGCATCGATAAATAAAAATAGATCAATATTTTTCATTAAGATTCCTTGCAATTTTTTTTGAATGTTTGTTGTTTCAGCTTAAGCATGAGTTCTTGAAATATTTTATGCATAACGCACAGTTCGCCATTAAAATATTGTAACCACAGCAACAAATGTAAGGAAATTTGTGTTTGGTTGATTATTTCTTTGTCGTACAAATTCTTCTCGGCACTAAATCTATACAACTGGGAAACTCGTGCACTTCACCTTAAATGGTGCCACGTTTGTTAGGAAAATACGAATGTTGGTTGAGCAGCAGAGTTAAATGTGCATGTTAATGAAAAGCAGGCAAAAACTTCTCTGCCTATGCCAAACAGCTTATTCTGCTATGGTCTTCAGCTTCTGGTGCCTCAGGTGATGATAGTCAAGTGCCTAATTGTTGGCGTCTGTGAGAACCAGTGGCGATGTCGCATCTCCACAGTCTGAGATGGAGCTCCATCTTCCACAGAGAGGATTTATCAGAGACTACCACAAGAATTCGGGAGTTGAGAGGACGGAATAATTTGCATGCAGTCCTGATCTCAACTCAACTGAACGGGATCAGCTTAGGCGTGCTGTTTGTTCCAGAGCTGTTGTGGCTGTGTAAGGTTCTTCCACATGCTACTGAGGCAAATGATTGTTAAATGAATAAACAATTATTTGCCAAAAGTTATCGAGTCAAATGATTGTGTTCATTTAGCAATCATTTGCCTCAGTAGCATGTGGAAGAACCTTACACAGCCACAATAGCCATGTAATAAGCAGTGCAAGGAGGCAAATGATTGTAAAATGAATACACTGTTCATTTATCAATACATCCCGTTTCTTCAGACTTCAATCATCCAGTCCAGTAAAGCATTAAACAAGAGTCAGAATCAGAATAAGCTGTTTGTTGTTGTTGACAGAGAAGATGTTTATGGGCCCAACCCACGATTTGGACTATGCAGCTCAATCCACAAATGCAGTTTCCTTACAAATGTGGCACAGTTTAAGAGGATATAAACAACCTTTCCAAAAGTATAAGATTTATTGCTAGGAAATATTGTTGCAACAAAGAAAAAACATCAATCAAAAACACATTTATATTAAATAATAAAAGGCTGAGGGAAAGTCTTTATTACCAGCTCAGCAACTGATGGAAAACTATGAAATATAATTACCTGTTGAAGTGCTTTAGTTTATTAAATGGACTGAACGCGAGTATTGAATACTGCAGAGGATGAATGTCTCTGCATTAGGATATCTTAATATTCAAACACTGCAGTGTTGTTTGTGTTTTTTTTTTTTTAAGTTTTAAACTCACACTAAAGGGATTCTTTTATTAAGTTTTGTTGATCTCAGAAAAATTGATTGGTATTTAATTCGTTTCTTCTACACGTCTTTTCCCTTCTGGCTTAGAGTTGAACATTTTGACCAACTTTTAAGCCAAACAAACAAAACAGTGCGATATGATTTAGGGATGTGACTTGATGGCAATGCCAGATGAAAATGTGAAATATCACAGTAAGAACAACGTATCCTCTCTAAACCTACAACATCTAAAATCGCTGCTTAAAGAATTGAATCAAGATTTTAGTTTGACAGCTCTGATTGGACTAAAGCATTTAATTTCCACTTTATCATTTCTCCTGCCAGCACAATGCTGCGTTCTGTGCATGCGTGTCAAGACGGGCAGCCAGAAAGCAAGAGAGACAAATCACAAAAACATTTTTTGGTACTTTCTGCTCAGGAGCTGCAGCTTATAATAAAATGGTAGAAGCAAAAAGAGGCTTTTATATTTTTACAGCTCTGACGGGACTTTTATGTGTATAATCAATGGTAAAATCTGCCCATTTGTTCATGTGACTGTGCGACGGACGTTCAGGCTTACGCTGTGTTGAAAAGATGTGTTCAAGTTGTTTTTCCTGGAATAACTGACTGCAGCTTATGACAAAGTACCACTAACTGTATTCAGACTGACTCTATTGTTGTCAATGTCACTGAAAAGACCGCACGCCATAAAAAGGGGCCTAAACCTTTTTAAATAAACCGGCGCTGCGATATTTACTGTTATTTTCGGACTATAAGGCGCACTTAAAATCCTTTAATTTTCTTTAAAATCGACAGCGAGCCTTATGTGCACCTTATGTATTAATTCTGGTTGTGCTTACTGACCTCGAACCGATTTTATGGGGTTATTGTGAATGAGTTGAATAAAGTTTGACCTATCCGACTATTTAGTTTCACTTCATGTGCCTTGTAATCCGGTGCGCCTTATGTATGAAAACAGACCTGTTCATTGATATCGCGTCTTATAATCAGGTGCGCCTTATAGTCCGAAAAATATGGTATAAAGATTTGAAACTACTAGAAGTAAATATTACTTCAAATGCCTGCAAGCTTCTCACAGACTAGACGTGTCGCCCCCTTCAGAAGCATTTTTATACAAAGGGCATCTTTAATAACCTCTGAAAATGTCGGGGTTGACTGTTACGAGTAAAAGGACTTTTATACACAGTTGGAGAGAAAAAACTGGATTACTGACATGCAAGGAAAAAGCCTCCTAAAGGACATTAAAGCAAAACTGCAGTCTTCTATAAACATGACGGCAAAGAATTTGAAAAACGGTGCTCTGACCTATAGCCGCAGTTACAGGAGATATGTCTGTTTTTCAAGGGGGATAAAAACTTTATTTGTGCATCTTAAAGGCTGAAATGTTTTGATATAGCAATGCTACACCTCTTCAGTAAAAGGGCAGCTTGCACTATAAACCCTGCATCACACGAGCGCTTGAACACAACATCAGGCCATCTGTCAGGAAGGTGAAACAAACCCAGGGTGGATCATTTCTCCTAAAGGGCAGCAATACGAGCTTCTTCTTACAGTATGTATTTATTTGGTTTAGCAACAGGAAATGTCACATGCATGTATATTTTTGTTGAATAAATGCCTTTTTTTCTGCTCTTTCACTTCACCTTCTTCATATGACTGTGGAACGTGCAGAGACTCATTTATTCCAACCACATTTCAATTAGACCTGTCTGACTGCCTGAGATTCAGGGAGTCAAAAAGAATAGGATCTCATTCACACCGGTCATAACTGGGCTTTTTTCTTCTGTAATATACTGAGTTAAAGACACAAGTACGGTTGAATTTGGTTAAAGTAGAAGACTCCACAAGCTTACCTTCTCCTCTTGGATCCGGTCCTCTATTTGCTTGGAGGCCGTTTCATGTGCCCTGAATATGCTGATGGTGCTGGTGACATCTGGGTCCAGTATGTTTCCATCTTTGTCTCTGACTACCAGATCAAGATCCAAATATCTGGCATAAAAAAAAGAGGATTAATTAACAAAATATGCCAAGCCAACAATTTTCAGTCAGGTCATCTGGACAGTTTCTTTTATTTGTGCTGCTTTTGTGCTACCTGGATTACTGAGCATGGACTTTGTTAAAATATGCCAAGGTTTATTACACTCTCAGGTAGGCCTGTCACGATAACAAATTTTGCTGGGCAATTAATTGTCTCAGAAATTATTGCGATAAACGATAATATTTTTTTTTAAATTTGACTATATTTATTAATTATTGTCAAATTTAGGAAGAAATATTGGTCAAATTGTTTTGAGTGTAGTACATTTTCTGACCACTAGATGGCAATACAAGACGGTTTTAACCGAAGGATGGATAGTGAGGGAGCGAGCAGCGTGTCTCTTTAAGAAAAATGGGAGGGAGGCCTCTTGACGCGGCATGGGCTGCTTCTCTTCGGTTCTCAAAATGGCGGACGCTCGGTTTGATTTGAGCTCTTTAGCATAGCATTTTCACACAAAGCTTTTAATAAAAAAAAATCAGTAAACAAGTTATCAGCCTTTTTTGTAGACAAAAACAACTTTTTACACGAAGGCACGGGTTTCGACCGTGAATTTTGGAGCTTCGACAAGACGGAGGGTTTTTTTCACCCGAGGTCGGTCTGTTAGCTTAGCTCGTAGCTTAGCTTCTCAGCTTAGCTGCTTTTAAAGAACCAAAAACGTGATTTTGAATACTTAAAACAGATTTTAAAGGGGTCAGTGAAAAGCACCAAAGTTGAGCCTTTTGTCATCCAGCGATTTTCCTACCTGGCCGCAGGTTTAGCTTCATTGCAGCTGCAAAGTAAAGCTTTACAATTTTCTTTTTCAAATGGTTTACTCGTCTTACTGCCGATACCAAGAGAGCTGTCATGTCACGATGGAATATTTAGCATTTTGCTAAAACTAAATCACTCCCACTGTTATCAAGCTAAGTGATGACCTGTCATTTTCTACAGTCTGACAGTGATGACTTATCCATGCAGGTGCACATGTATATACACAAGAGGATCCAGGGATATAATGCATAGGAAGGGGAAAAAAAACTACAATAACTGAATACTCACTTGTTGCCATAGTCGATCTTAGAGGTGACCTTCTGTTTGAGCTCAGTGAGCTCGTCCTGCGGGAGCGTGCCAGACAGAATCTGTGACCGCCATTCGATGAGGTCGTAGATCATGTCCCGGACAGAGTTGAACATCTCACGCTTGTCCTCCTTTCAGACAAAACATTGAACAGCTGAGACTCAAGTGGAAATTTGAAAATGCCAAACGCTACTTTGTCTGAACAGCATGAAGCCCACACTGTGCCCCCAACTCTGTGAGGAAGAATTAGTTCCTGCACGTTTCTGTCACAATGCTCATTATTATTTCTGCGAGACCTGAGGGCCTCATACACCCCATAAAATGCATTTTAAACACAAAAAATGTAAACTCTAAATAGTTGTAGGTGAACAAGGCTGTGTAAATATGGTAGAATCTCTGCAGCTTCAGCCAATAATAATACTGTTAATATTTATGAAGCATTCACACTATTTTGATCCATTTTTATTCTGTACGTTTTTCAAAATCATTTCTTGTTCCACAGTTTTTGTGCTATTTCAAGAAATCACAAGTCAAAATGTTCAGCTCATTCAGGAGAAGGGTGCTATTGGTGCAACTTTAGCTTTTTGAGCCTTTTCTGCCATTTTTTTTTCCTCATAGAAAATGAACTGAGCTCATTTTACATCCTTCAAATCTTTAGATCTGTTTACAACCTTTAACTGCTCCTTTCACATTTCGTTCTGCTTCCGCTTCTTTCAGCTTCCTTGTGCAAATTTAAACTTATTTTCAGCTGATTTCAGCTGTTTTGTGCTCCTGTCTGATCCTTGTTGCTAACTACAACATTTTTGTGCTTCTTCTAACTTCTTTCTGCCAATGTCAGCTCGTTATGCTCCTTTCAGCTTATTTCTGGAAGTTTCAGCTTTTTCTGCTATTGCGGCTACTATTTAGCCGTTTTTATGCTAATTTCAACCTTTTCAGCTAATTCCACTATTGTTGCACTCATTTAAACTTTTTTCAGCCTAATTCAGCAAGAATGTGCTCTCCACTTTCTTCTGGTAATTTAAGCTTCTTTCTACCTTTTTAGCTACTTCTCAGCTGTTATTTTGCTAATTTTAGCTTTTTTCATGGAATTTCCATTATTTTGTGCTCATTTCTGATTCTATCAGCCTAATTGGGCAAACGTGTTCTTTCTATTTTCTTGAGCTAATTTAAGCTTGTTCTACCTTTACAGCTAGCTTTTTAGCACATTTTAGCTAATTTCAGCTGTTTTCAGATATATTCAAGTTTTTCATGGTAATTTCTGCCACTTTCAGACTAATAGTTTTTTCTGCTAATTTCAACTTCTTACGCTCCTTTCAGCTTATTTCTGGTCGTTTCAGTTATTTCAGCTACTATTTAGCTGTATTTGTGCTAATATTGGCTTTTTCAGCTAATTCCAAATTTTTTGCACTCATTTCAACTTTTGTGTTCTTTCTGCTTTCTCCTGCAGATTTACGCTTGTTCTACATTTTCAGCTACATTTCAGCTGTTTTTCAGCAAGTTCTTCTGCAATAAGCATTCACACTGCATTTTCACAGGAAATGCAATTTTTCTAGTTACAGCTTGAAAACTAAGCATCCTTACGACAAAATCATTTTATCTTTTTGAAGCTGTGCACATCTGAACCTTCAGAGGGCTTTTAGTCATCAGACTGCATTTGGACAATGCCAACACTTCTGAATAAGCTTAAAAAGCAGTCAAACAGTTTTCCTTCAGAACACCTGAAGGTGGTCTGGACCCCTTCCATCCACATAGTCTGAATACAATCCGTCCTGTGGGGCCTCCTACTAAACTGACATGAACTCCATCAGAATCAGCTGCATTATAAAATGAATGTGTTGTCTTGATTTTTATTAATCAGGCTCAATTGCCAGAACGCTGTGCGATAAATTTCTCTTTAGTTTAAAGTCTGAGATTGTTTAGCTGATTGAGCTCACTGAGGTGTGCTTTAAAGTTCAGTGTCAATCAGAGGCCATCACTCTGTGCAGCAGTGTGTCGCATTATATTAACCTAATTAAACACAGTGAATGTGTGACTTCAGATGTCTGAATGTGTTGTAGTTTTCACAAAAACATTAGCAGGGCTTCTTTGTCACGTCTGACACTTGACCGTGCAACATGGCTGTCTGCATCTGCGTACAGAGCAGGTAACTGCAGAAAGGATGCACGTTAAACGTCCAGGTGTGAACACAATCAGTCAGAGCTCACCACAAGACGATTACAAACGACAGATTTATACAGTCTTTAAGTTGAAACCCACTTTCAAATTAGCGAAAGATAATTTAAAACAATTTGTATTTATAGTGCCTTTATAGAGGAAAACAAAAACATTTTGCGATGGAAAACTGAGATTTGATCATGTGTCTTCAGCAGAAATGTTATGTAAGAATAAACATCTGATCATACAGTGATGCCCAGTGAGACTCTGTTTAGTCAAAGAGCTCTCCAGATCAGATAGCGGCTAACATTTTTGCGTTTTTGATAAAAGTGTAACTACGAATAATATATTGCTCTTGTTATCATAAGGCGGACTGATTCTGCCATTCAGAATTGTCTCAATCCCTGGGATTTCTGCACAATACCATTTTATATTAAATGTATAAAAATCAATAGTCGACTTTTCTCGTCTTCCTTAACATTCCTGCAGTGACATGCTCTGTTTGTAATGCCAGTGTTCTGTTAGGGAAGAACAGGCCGACTCACCACATACAAGTCCCTCCATATTGTGGCCCACTCCCGCAGCGTTGTGGTAACCTCCTGAACCAGGGGCAGCTCGGTGGGAATGACCGTCTCCTTCTGCCTGCGGTGACAGAACAGAAAATAAAACCAGCGTTTGGTCTGACCTCGTTTTTCAACCCTAAAAAGCTTTCAAGTCTTATGAGAACAGAGGGTTCAGAAGTAAAACAATTTACTATATGCCTTTTAAAGAAAAAAACACCACTTAATGTTTATATCCATGACTAGAACCTAATGAGGCTCTTTGGGTTATCCTCAATAAATCTGGATGTCCTGAGAAATTCCCTAAACTAATTAGGCAGTTCCATGACAGCACGAGGGCCCAGGTTATGCATGAACGTGCTTTCTCAGAACGCTTCCTGGTTAGGACCGGAGTAAAACAAGGATGTGTAATGGCATCCATCCTTTTTTAACTCTATTTTGCTGCTGTGATGACTGATGCTCTTGAAAGATGCAGTGGATGTATCCAGCTTCATATACAGGCAGACAAGAACGTATTCGACCTCTCCCGATTTAGAGCGAAGTCCCGAACTACCAACCTTTCAGTCATGGATATCCTCTATGCTGACGACGTATGCCTAACGGTGGACAGCATGGACGCTTTACAGTGCTATCTCAATGCCTTGCAGGAATCGTGTCTCAAGGTTGGAATAGTTATAACTAGGCCTGTCATGATAAATTTTGCTAGGCGATTGTCTCAGGAATTATTGTGATAAACAATAATATTGTTTGAAATTTGACAATAATTAGTAATTGTCAAATTTAAGAAAAAAATGTCGGTAAATTTTTGTGTGTAGTACCTTTTTTGACCACTGAATGGCAGTATAAGACTGTTTGAACCGAAGGATGGAAAGTGAGGGAGCGAGCAGCGTGTCTCTAAGAAAAATGGGAGGGAGGCCCCTTGACGTGACATGGGCTGTCTTTTGTTTCTGTTTTTCGGTTCTCAAAATGGCTGACGCTCTGTGTGATTTGAGCTCTTTAGCATAGCATTTTTCACACAAAGCTTTTAATTTAAAAAAATCAGTAAACAAGTTCTCAGCTTCTTTTTGCAGAGAAAAACAGCACGAAGGCACGGGTTTCAACCGTGAATTTTGTAGCTTTGATAAGACACCGTTTTTTTCCCCCAAGGTCAGCCTGTTAGCTTAGCTGCTTTTAACGATCCAAAAACGCTATTTTGGACGGTTAAAACAGATTTTAAGGAGAAAAGAGAAAGGGAGGGGTCAGTGAAGAGCACTGGAGTCGAGTCTTTTGTCATCAGGTGTCTTCAGTAGAAAGAGACAAGAAGAAATGATAAAGCTGATAAATGAAAATTAGGTAGATAATTTTCATTTATCGTGCGATTAATTGATTTATTGTTTATCGCGACAGGCCTAGTTATAAGTGTCACCAAAACTCAGATACTTAAATTGCCGCCAAGAGGTTGTGGTCCTGACGCCAACGATAACCATTGATGGGATAAACCTGGAAGAAGTCACCAACTTCTGTTATTTGGGCTGCCAGATAAGAAATGACAACCGTCATGCGTCTGAACGCTTATAGCGCGAGCTGCTGCCACCTTCGGCAGGTTAAAGCAGCGTGTGTGGAAATCTCACAAGATCGCACTGCAGACGAAGCTCACAGTTTATCGTGCCATAGTGCTGCAGACCCTTTTATACGCATACGAAACCCAATGCCTGTATAAAGGTGACATTAGGAGGGTGGATGCATTTCACATAAAATGCCTACGTTCCATCTTGTGCATCAAATGGCAGAATCGTGTTACAAAATGCAGATGTTCTTCGGCGCTCAAATACTCACGGCACGGAGGCCCTACTGATGAGAGGACAACTGCGATGGTGCGGCCACGTCCAACGAATGGAAGACTAGACTTCCGAAGAGTGTATTCTACTCAGTGGTTTTAAGTGGGAAGTGCAACTCTGGTGGGCAGTACCTTCGCTATAAGGACGTATTCAAACGTAATCTGACTGCGTGTAGTTTGCCCACCGAAGAGAGAGAGGAAGCTGCTCAAAGAAGATCAGTTTGGCGTTCAAAGGTCAAGAAAGGCGTCTTAAACTTTGAAAACTCTTGCCTTTCTGAGTTAGACCACAAATGACAAATTTGCAAGAATACACCTACAACAGTGCGGGCCAGTTGTACTGAGCGGCCTGCGACCGAATATTTAAGACGAAATTCGGATTTTCCAGCCACATACGAGCACACGCCAGAAGCTAGCCAGGTCCGCCATCATCGGACACGACGCGGACGACATCGTCATCGTCTCTTTTACTGCGAGCTTGTCTAACGTGTGAAGCAGAAACGTCACTCGAGTTGAAACCAACTTTTGTGTTTTTACAAATTTCAATATTTCTCAAAATACTGATATGTCATTTAATTAATCTAAAGTAAACAACTGACAGACACGAACCCAAATATTTGAAAGCAAAAACTACAGTGAACACAGAAAGCTCTGCTCATTACAACAGATTTGCAAAAAAAACAAAAACAAGCGGCTTATAAATTCTGAAGTACTGACCCGCTGCCCTCAACTGTGGCATCTTTGATGTGTATATAACAAGCAGGAAATATGCCCTGGAGGAAGATTTAAAAAAAAAAGACAGTAATGCATCATCAAACAGCTGAGAAAGGAAAACTATTTTAAAGATTAATAACCCAGAAATTAATTTAGGTGTTTTACAACCTAATGAGGCACTCACCTTTTTTGATTTTCTCCTCAGTCTATAACCTCTGAACCAGCCTAATGGATCACAAAGTTATATACAACAAGTACCATTACTGTCAATTTGAATAAATGAAAGTTCCTTTTACGTACAATGTTAAGATGCAGGATTAAAAAAATACATTGTTATAGCTAAAATGCTATAACAATCATATTTATGATGACTATAATTTCAGAATGAAGATCAAAGTTATAAATGCGTCACAGCACCGAAATGCAAAGAAAAATAAGAGCACGGCCTCATTTATTCATTCAGTCAAAATTTTTAGCAATCAAGACAAAATTTAAAAAAAAAACATTCAGCTCTTTCAATCTTTATAAATTAGGTTAAAAAAAGACTAAAAACGCTCCAATAAAAGATATTACACCTAGTCAATATTGAACAAAAATAGGCCAAAATGCGTTAATCGTTTAGGAAATTATAACGCTTCCATAAAAATGAAGCGTAGTTGATCATTTGAAGCTAAAAATCCAAATATATTGATTAATTGATCATTAGTGCTTCTATCAATGCGGAAAATCCTCTAAATTGTATAACCTGCTAGGACAGATAAGATCATAGCAAACCTCCAAAGGGTCAGACCATTAGGATCACAACTGATATCTTAATAAATAAATAAACATGTCTACAAAATAAATAAAAGAATGGGCACTAAAGAGAACAGTAAAGGCACATTCATCATGCCGCAGTCTGACTGTTCTCACCTTCATATGTCTCGAGTATGTGCACCGTGTCTCCGATCTGGAGCGACAGCTCCTCCTCTCCCCGGGCATCGTAGTTATAGATTGCTTAAAGAAAAGCAAGAGGGGACAAAATAAGAGAGGAAGATATTACAGGAAGTGGAAAAAGGCAATAGAGCTCCCTCGTGGCACTAATTGTGTAATGTGTATTTGAAGTATCACACATATGTGGGATGTCCACCCACGCAGCCTGACACTGTTATGGTGGGACTTGGCACCAGTTAGATTGTGATAAACGCTTTTTTTCCCACTTACTGAGGAAAAATCTATAATACTAAAACACCACAAATGATGGTGATGAACATATTTGCTTGGAACAAGGATGGGCAGGTGATAAACTATCCCAGCAGTCTTTGTTTTCCGGAATGTTCCCAAACAAAAAATAAGCTACTTATTGTTTTAATCAGCACCAGTGTTTCAAGGATTCAAGGTTCTTTATTTGTCATTTGCACCATGTGTGGTGCATGTGTGGTGCATGTGGTGGAACGAAATTGTGTACAGAGTCCCAGTTACATCCAATAAAAGTATAAAATGTAAAATAAAAACAGTAATAAGACCTAAGATATGAATGAACTAAGAAAAACATTAACAAATACGCTAAGCACTAAGTATAAAAACAATACGCTGAGAAACAGCAGCACGAACAGGAGTCTGTGTGAGCAGATGAGCACGCATGAACACATCAACATGAAACAGATCAGCAGCAACATGAAACAGATCAGCAGCAACATGATGTGAGCCTCAGGGTAGAAGCTGTTCCTCAGTCTAGCGGTTCTACACTTAATGCTCCTTAACCTCCTTCCTGAGGGGAGCGGGGCAAAAAGTGTGTGCGCTGGGTGAGTGGGGTCCTTCATGATGCAGGTGGCCATTTTCCTGCATCTTTCTAAGATGTAGTTTCCAATACCATTATACAAGGAGGGTGCCCCCCCCCCCCCCCACTGTCAACAGAACCGAGCACTAGGCTTGTCGCAATAAATCAATTAATCACATGATAAATGAAAATTATCAACCTCATTTTCATTTATTGGCGTTATCGTTTCCTTGCGTCTCTTTCTACTGAAGACACTGGATGACAAAAGGCTCAACTCAGGTGCTCTTGACTGACCCTTCCCTTTCTCTTTTCTCTTTAGAATCCATTTTAACGGTCCAAAATTGTGTTTTTGGATTGTTAAAAGCAGCTAAGCTGAGAAGCTAAGTACGAGCTAAGCTAACAGGCCGACCTCGGGAAAAATCTCCGTCTTGTCAACGCTCCAGAATTTATAGTTGAAACTATGCTTTCATCTAAAAAGTTGTTTTTCTCTGCAAAAAGAAGCTGAGAACTTGTTTACTGATTTTTTAATTAATGTGACAAATGCTATGCTAAAGAGCTCAAACCCCACCGAGCATCTGCCATTTTGAGAACTGAAAAACAGGAACGAAACAGCCCATGTCACGTCAAGGGGCCTCCCTCCCATTTTTCTTAAAGAGGCACGCTGCTCGCTCCCTCACTATCTATTCTTTGGTTCAGACAGTCTTTTACTGCCATCCAGTGGTCAAAAAAGGTACTACACGCAAAAATTAATCAACATTTCTTCCTAAATTTGACAATTACTAATTATTGTCAAATTTCAAGCAATATTATCATTTATCGCAATAATTTCTGAGACAATTGTTCGCCCAGCAAAACTTGTTATCGTGACAGGCCTATCAAGCGCCCTGCCTATCGAACTGTCCCCCCCGGACAACTGCCAGCACTGACGTTGCGTTGACATAGCGCTAAGCTACTGGCGCATAATACAGACGCACTAGGTAAAAAGGTACAGAGGTAGCGCTGCGTCTACCTCACACTAAGCCGTTTGTGCCCCACCATGACCCCCTCCAGACCCCGCAGACTGCTCTAATTTTAAAAAACTGACCAATAAAAACCTAATCAGCTAAACTCTACTAATCAGTTTAAATTACCTTTTTGTGGACCTCAACACCTGTCAAGTCTACAAACACAACGTACACGTTTAACACAGGCAGTAAAAAAAAGGATGTTTATATGAAAGAAAACGAGAAGAGTTAATGTCTGTATTTGTGCATCTGTGTCTTGTTGAGGGAATGCACAATGATCTGTTTGAACAGAGGTTTCCAGAAGTGAAAATGTCTAATTAAAAAAAGACTATTACCACAGGTGCTTCAGTCTTCCCAGAAGGTTGGAACTGAAAGTGAATTAACCATTTTTTCCTCACAACAACCTGCCACTTGAAGAGCTCATTATTGTTCATTAGGAGCGTCAGGTGGGGCACAATGTTTTGTTTTGTGTGTGTATATGTGTGTGTTTTGTCACTATCAGCTCTAGGGGGCTTATGCTGGACAGTTATGCAGAACACTACATTTCTGCTTGGATTTTAGAGTTCAATCATTTTATGTATTCTACTCCCGCACAGAAAATTAAAGTGGGTCTTTCCCTGACAGATCATGTAAGTGCATGAAGTCTGTCACCCTCATTTAGCAACTAATAAGACAAACTTAGTACACTTAATACTAATGGATAGTCAGCATAATTTGTGATTACAGGCGATTGATTCAAGATAAACGATTCATATCATTTTATGATATATCTGTTAATCTTTTCATATAGATTTCTTGATCTGTACAAAGTGGAACAATAAATGAACAAAGCAGTGAGCTGGGTCATGTCACAATTACAACGTGTTTATAGACAGCACAACTGGAACCAGTATTGTATTTGTCAGTAATGGAGACGAGAATCACAAGCAACATCATAGGTATAAAGAAGCCAGTTTTCTGCATCTTATTGGTTGAATACACTAAAAACATTGTTGAAAAATATGGATCGCACAATATTAAGATATCCGTGTCTATCACGAATGATAGTAGGATGTAGAAGGAGACAGATCAACTGATAGGTGCCTCGATCACATTGATGAGGCTGTTGGATCGGCCTGTCATGGTGAAGGAAGAGCTGAGCTGAAAGGCAAAGCTCTCGGTTTACTGGTCCGTCTATGCATCCAACCCCCACCTCTCTGGTCATGAGGTTTGGATCACGACAGAAAGAATGCCCGGATACAAGCAGCTGAAATGAGTTTCCTCCATAAAGGTGGCTGAGCTCAGGTTTAGAGATAAGACTGGAGTTGAGCCACTGCTCTTTTCCAATGAAAGGAGTTAGCTGAGATGGGTCAAATATCTGATTATCACACCTCCTGGACACCTCCTTTTGGAGCTTTTCCAGACACATCTCACAGGAATAAGACCCAGAACTCACTTTCTAGTCTGGGAATGCCTTGATATCTCCCAGGAGGGGTTGGGATTGGGAGCGTCACTGTGGAGAGAAATGTCTGGGTTTTCCCCCTGGACCAGTTGCCCCCATGACTTGACCATGGATAAGCAGCAGAAAATGGGCCAACACAAGGATATAATTAAGAAAGCATTATTTCAGTATTACTGTATTTTCCGCCATACACGTCCGCACCGTATAAGTCGCATCAGTCCAAATATATCTAATAAAGTTGAAAAATCCATAAATACGTGGCTTTGCTGTATACGTCGCATCTATTATGCGTCGCCGCTAACAACCTGGAAATGTGGGCCGAACCCAGAAATATGGGCCGGTGTTGTGCCAAAAATCTGGCTGCCAAACGGCAGCCGCGGGAGTGTGCACGGGAGGACTTTAACAAGAATTTAACAACATTAACACTTAAAAACAATTATTTGTTTGCTCAAAATTATAGTAAAGGTGTGTCCCAGTCTAACTTTTGTTAATAAATGCACTTTGATGATCAAATCAGCTGTATTTCAAAAGCCGATATGCAGAAGTAAACGCGTGCATGGTAGGACTCACTGTGCACTTCTTCAAAATTTAACAAGATAACTACCTAAAAACAATTATTTGTTAGCTCGAAATTATAGCAAAGGCGTGTCTCAGTTGAATTTTTACTTAATAAATGCACTTCAATGGTCAAATTAGCTGCATTTCGCCAGGGCGGCGCAGCGAAATGAAGCTGATTTGACGGTTGCTCCATGCGAACTGGACTAAGGTGGCAGTCTATGGCAGGCCGATTGTGTCATTAATAGCCACTTTTACCTATTACATGACACAATGACATGCAATACTAATCGAGTGCCATCTAGTGGCTGAAAATGGTAGTGTTCAATATTTTCAGTCCAAATGAACGAAAACAGTCATATCTCAGCCAAAAATTGGTTTATAAATATGGGTAAAAATCCATAAATGCGTCATTTCGGTGTATAGGGCGAAAAATTCGGTATTGTAGAACATTGCTACGACAATACCTGTTCCAACAAACACACATGTTCTGTCAATATCTACATGTGTACATACCTCCAGGGACATTTGAAGCTATGGGGGTCAATCTGAATGCAAAATTGGTAATTTTTGCATGCAGTTTTGGTCTGATATGTTTTGGAATCCTTTGCAATATTGATATTGAAATCCATGACACTGAATAAATTTTCAATATATTGTGCATCTCTCTTTAAAAATAAAACAGCAAAAAGAGTTTATGAAAAAAATATAGCATGCAGATGAAACCCTTTACAACGTTGCAAAACTAAAGCTTAAAAAACACTATTAGGCCACAAAAGAGCTGTCAAACATGTATCTTTTTGGTTTTGCTTAGCAGGTCACATCCTCATTGGATGTAAAAAGACAGGAAATGTTGAGCATCGCCTACTTCATTCAACCCTGTGCTTTTGTTGTGAATATTCTTGTGCATGTCCACAGTGCATTCTGTTATCCCCCACAACAATCCAGTGAATCCACCAGAACACGAGCCACGAGCTGACAAAGGAACAAAAGCCTCAGGAAATTAATTCATCCATGCCAGACTGAAAAAAAATAAAAGGCACCTATGAGGTAAGAAAGCAACAGAGCAATCAAACAAGAGGTGGGAATAATCTATGATGAGTCGCCAGAGAAGCAAAGTCACTGTACAACTAACTAAACTACTGCTAAGAGCTGCTACAAACGCCATTAAAGCCAATGGCTCCATCCATGTGTTTGCTCTTGCTGATTTGGCATGTTATTTAAAATAGCAGGTGAT